CCATCGAGCTTCAGCCGCCAGATTCGGCATCGCCACCAAGGAATATGGCCGTCCCGCGCGCATGCAGAGTCAGACCGCGAGTCGCGACGCGTACACCAGAAGTCGGGGCCCGAGAGAGCCGACGCCCAACCACGTGACCAACCTTCGGGCAATGCCGAGAGCCATTTCGGAGATGCACTACCGTGGCAGTGTCATTACACTCAGAATAGCGCGAAAACTGGTAGTAACTTCGGCTCGACGGTGGACACAGCGACAAAGAGAGTCTTGTCTTACGGCGGGATCATGCAGCTGGGCGCGAAGGTGCTGCGCACGGGTCGATCCCGGGTGCGCGGGAGCCCTAAACACAGCTACCGCGCCAAACGAACATGGTGAACATCCCAGCAGAGCATGCTGGCCACTAGAACCTAGCCGAGGATCGCGTCGGTGCAAGTATGCCTCCGCTGCCGCACGCGACCTTTACATAACGACAGATGCATTTAGTGCACGCCGAGAACGCGAAGGCAGATTCACCATCGTATGGTTACCGCTGCAAATAGCACAGCCCGTCTCGATGCTCACCGTCGGCCTATCGTCTCTCGTAGCCGCTCTCGCTGAGGCCTCTATGTGCCCCCCAGCCTCATTCGTCGTTGAATACCGTAGCTGCTTTACTTATTGCGCGAAAGCATCACTGTGAGATACCAGCACATCTACGCACAGGTAGCCACATCCTCGATGTTGCAAATCGGTATAATACAGTGTGGGATATGTATCAGGCCGCTGCAAGCTGCGCAGGCTGTGGAACAAGGCTTAGTCGGTGAATATTGCAGCCGCCTTCGGCCACCAGCACTTGAAGGCGAAGTAAACAAAGGGGTAAGGAACCCAGCTTACGTAAGGTTATTGCTGTGTATGGCTGTGACCGAGCAGTTTAAAACTCCGCAAAGCCCGCTTCCGTATCACCGTCGACGACGACATCGAGACTCAACCACCACTCTCCACGACCAACACACTCGCATTCAAATGGCTGAAATTCGCAGGAAGCTTGTAATTGTTGGCGACGGTGCTTGCGGAAAGGTTCTTGCTCGTTGTTGATCCCACCTAGGACTCGCCGTTGACCTCCTTTTCAGACCTGTTTGCTCATTGTCTTTTCCAAAGGCACATTCCCTGAGGTGCGTCAAGCTGCAGTGAATAGTCATACGTCTCGAACTCAAGCGTCTTGTAGGTTTACGTGCCGACAGTCTTCGAGAACTATGTTGCCGACGTGGAGGTTGATGGCAAGCACGTCGAGCTCGCCCTATGGGATACCGCTGGTCAAGAAGACTATGACCGTCTCCGGCCTCTCTCGTACCCTGACTCGCACGTCATCCTTATTTGCTTCGCCGTCGATTCACCAGACTCGCTAGATAACGTCCAGGAGAAGGCACGTGTCCTCCTGCACTCTCGAGCGTTGACGCTGCGTTGGAGTACGGTCGCGCTAACGTTGTTCCCTCATATCACAGTGGATCTCCGAGGTCATGCATTTCTGCGCTGGTCTCCCGATCATCCTCGTTGGATGCAAGAAGGATCTCAGGCGGGACCCTCGGGTCATTGAGGAGCTCCGTAAGACAAATCAGCGCCCGGTCACTCCTGAGGAGGTGCGTCATCTGCCCGTAGTCACCGTGGACTCCGCTGAGCATGACATTGTTCCCGCAGGGCATGGCTGTCGCACAGAAGATTGGTTCCAAGCACTATCTCGAGTGTTCGGCGAAGACGGGCGAAGGTGTCCGAGAAGTATTCCAGTATGCCACCCGCGCAGCCCTGCTGTCGCGCCCCAAGGGAGGCAAGAAGCATCACGGTTGCTTGGTTCTCTAGATGACGATCATCTTATCCCTCTACGCTCGGACATGCCGTTCCCTGTCTTAATACCCCTCGCATATACGACCTAAGGTGCGGGCATCACTTCGCACCGATCCCTACCGCACCCACCCACTTCATACATTCCATGCGACCTACGGCTCATCTGTTCCTTTTCTCAATTTCTTTCTTTGTCTGTTTTCCTGCATCTTTTCATTTGTAAGTACGATATAAGCTCGAGCGGATGAATACAGTATTGCGGAGAGTCTTCGGCTTGATAAAACCTAAGCATGGTGGATCGCACCCGTCCCGCTTGCACGGTCCAGACGACCTCGATTCAGCTGCATGTGCCAGCATTGCAAGCGGTTGCCATGTCGTACCACCCTCGTTCAACGCTGATGTAATATCTGTTGCGTCAGCCGATTCGGCTCCGTTATCTGTTCTGATACGGCAATTTGTAGATAAGGCCTCTGGAAAAAAGCTGTACGCCGAAAGGGCAACGGCGTCCTTGACCTTCTCTGGGACGATGTGCCCACTCCTTCTAACTGGGAGCTAGCACTTGGCCTCCTCTCTCGGGGTCGTTTTTCGAGCCGCACGCCCCCTCTCGCCCCGAGCGCGGCCCCTCCCACAGGGCTACGACACCGCGGTTGACCTGTCAGCTCTGCCTACGTCGTCTAGCGATATCCGACACAGGTGCGCCCTGCCGTGTCCGTTCCTCCCTGGAAACCGAACAACCTCCTTCGGCGCCGTAGCACTCGTTTCGCAAGCGCGCGGCCAGACATGCCCCTCAACTTCGCCGTGCGCGAGTCCCAGGCCTCGCCCTCTGTCAGCCTCGAGAAGGGCGCGTACCGCATGCGCGCGCCCTTGCGGCGTTCTGTCCTGGCAGCCTCGCTCACCGTCGACACCGCTCTTGCGAATACGAAACCACCACGGCCACACTCCCGGTCGCGCTGCAGTGCCCAGGCCGCGAGTCGCGACGGCCTGCCGCAGGTCTTGCGCGAGGAGCGTCAGCTGGCTACGCTCGTTGTCCTCCTGGTGTGCGCGTCGGTGGCGTGCTTTGGTGGGGCGTACTATCTGTTTACGACCGGGTGCGTGGGTTACCGTGCGATGATGTTTGTGTTTCGCTGAGATACGTGGTGAACAGTCCGCGGATGTAACATTGCCAGCGACGTGCTTCATGTCTTCACTTGATCTTCCCGGGGACTCTGGATTTCATATCTAGGTTTATTGCTCTCCGAATACTATCTCTCGTGCCACCGCTAGAAAGACAGCCTGAGCATGTCCCTTTCGCCGGCTGAAGTGACGTCACCACGACTTAATACAAGGTGCCAAAGATATTTTGAGCTCGGTGCGCTATGTAGAACGTGCAGATCCGCATCAAACAGCATATTCTCCAATTGTACTGATCAAGCTGCAACATATACCAGACTGTAAGCTGCAGACGAGCCCCTACAGGTAACTCAGGGAAAGCTGCCTCTTGCAGCTTACGTCCCCGGCTTTCGTACGTGAAGTTCCGATATCCGTCTTCATTGAACCCGCAGCCCTCTACCTGTTCTGCTTCCATCATTTCGACTGACCAATGAATTAGCAGGTTTGGGGCTTCGCGGTTAGCAGACGGTACCTTTATACAACCGGATCCCGTTTTGTTTTGTTTGCCGCCGCGACGTTGTATTCGTCACGTCGATGTGTCTTACGCTCGGCATTATGGGCGAAGATGCTTCGATAGCTGGCATCTACGACAGCGACAACGTCCCACCACTGTACTCTCGTGTTTTGAAGAGCCACAGAAAGACAGCGGCAACCGGTGTGCACATCTACGTCGCTCGCGCCATCTTTTGTGAAATTCTCATGCAAAGCAATCTATCTACTATTATAGCACGAAGCACAAGTACAGCCCGTGTATACCACTAATAGATACGCCTCAAAGCACCTTGTCCCACAACAATCGCTTCCTCTTCATTGCCTTCGGAAGCAGCGCCTTCATCCCTTCGCCAACAGCAGGGTCTGCCTCAGTCCTCGCATATCCGTAGCGGTCGCCCCAGACTATTGGCGCACCGGCCGGGACGTGAAGAGGCCACCTTCCGATTGTCAAGGCTTCGACTGAGTCAAAGATCGGCAGCTCGAGCGCGTCGTCAAGCGCGGCCCAGTCTGTCGCGGTCGGCTCTGCCGCGCCGGGAAACTCGTGGAACCGCAGCCAGAGGTGAAGCTCGCTTCGCCTCGTCGTCGAGCCGACGCCCTCCGTGCTGAACAGGGCGATGAGGTTCGAGAATGTCTCAGTGCAGTACGGAAGTCTGAGCGCGACGAAGCCGAGGTTGGTACACGATGCCAAGGCGCCGCTCACTGTTTGCGCAGGCTGGTCAGTGCTCAGCTTGCGACTGCGTCCACGCAGGTACTCACAGGATGTGAAGTCGAGGTCAGGAGCGAAGGACAGATAGAGGTCAGCGAGCGACTTCTTCGATGCGCAAACGAGCTCGTCGACAGCAGCGAGCACCGTGGGGTTGAGGATCACAAATAGGTGCAGGAAGAGGCCTGTCACAGCAGACGTCGCTCCTGACCGCGCGAGCCACCGCAAGAGGCCGGTCGACCGTTGGTCCAGCGCCCACGAGGCGTCACTGGCGATGACGAGGTCTGTGAGGCGCACCGAGGTGTTTGGGAAGGAGCCGAGTCGAGACCCTGTGTACTTGCCGTGCCACTGGCACATCAG